TCTGCGTCGCGGATGGCCCGCAGAACGAGGCCAGCTACGCGGTGGGAGAGATGGCCCAGGAGGACCTCGACAAGACCGGGTACAACATTGTGTGGGTGGCGCCGTTGGATAAGTTAGTTCACCATCGAAGATGTCTAGTGGGTAGAAGGTCCACATCCAGATGGGCCATCCTCGAGCGAGGCACTGGCAGCAGCGCTGGAGGAGATGAACGCGGGCGCCCGATTGATGAGTTGTGCGCGGACATGCACACGCGTGAGACATGTCTCACGCGGCAGCGGCCGAAGTCAGTGCGAGTCGCCCACGCCCCGCGACGCGAGGTCGGGGATGCAGCGGCGCCCTGGATATCGACGCGTTCCGCGCGGCGCGGAAGGACAAACGCAATGTGATATTCGCCATCGTGGACGAGAGCACTAGGTTCGAGGTCGACGCGGCGGCGATGGGCGAGAAGGCCAGCGCCGAGACCGATGGGGTTGGAGATGCACTGGATCAAGTGGGCCGGGGCGCGGGACAAGCTGCGAGCGCGCAAGAGTGGCGCGCGCGTGAGTGGCGAGTTCATGGAATGGCGCGACGGTCGGCAGAAAAGGAGAAGTTCGAATTTTCAGCAGGCCGGCGCGGGACATGCGACGCCGACTGGCGGTGGTGATGGGTCTGCAGGACGCTGGGATGGCAGATGCTGGTGCCCGCGCGCTGAGATGTGCGAGTCCCTAGGCAGTGGAAACAAACGGTCACGGAGGCCATGCTCGAGATCTGCTTCCTGTCGCACGCGCAGGTGTTGTTTCCTGTCGTGTTGCCTGGCGTTCGACGGGGGCGATCCGTTCCTGGTCTGACAGGCGGGCCACGGCAGACGCCGCGCGTTAGACGGCGTGCTGGGGCTACGCGGCTACGCGTGGACGACTTCATCGGCGGCGGCGAGAATATCGAGCGCGAGGAGGAACCTCGCCAACGAGAAGGCGCGCGATGGGCACCTTCCTGGATTGGGCGCAGAGGCTCAGGCAGAGGTTCAAGAGTGGCAAGTCGGAGTTCTCGAGCAGCATCGTCTTCTGCGGCATGGGGAACACGCGGTCGTTCTCGCGCGACGCCGAGGGCTGCATCCACGAGGTCTAGACGATCAGCATCGAGAAGACACGGAGGATGCACCCAGACAGCCCGTGCACGCCGAGGGAGATCAGTCAGCTCAGAGGGCTCAATGGGGCCATGCAGTGGCCAGCGTCTCAACGCGCGGCGCAGGCAGCGGCGGCGGTTTCGTTTGCGCGGGGCGGCGTCGGCAAAGCGACTGTCAGCAGCTTGCTGGCAGCTAACAAGTCGCTGAGGTTACTGGAGGCAAGTGGTGATGTGGGGATTCGCATCGAGTGCGCGGGTGCCTGGAGTGCGGCGCGCCTTGGGCCGCGAGGCCGAATGGCGAGTCGCGCAGCGGCCGCGTGATCTTCGTGGTCGAGGGCGTCAGGATCGACGACGGCCAGCCGACGCAGTTGGCGATCGTTGATTGGGCGAGCAAGAAGTTGGCGAGGACCTGCCGGAGCTCCCTGGCAGGCGAAGCCTGGGGCGCGGCGAACGCAGCGGGCGCGCTGGAGCTTGCGCGGGCGATGCTCGCGGCGATGCAATTCCCCGCGCTGCAGCTGACGGGCGCGGAGATGTTGCAGATATTGGGGCGAAGCCCGTGCGTCGCGGACTGCGAGGCGCTGTTCGGCGCTGCGAACTCTCGGGCGGCAGCTGGCGGTCTGACGGAGCGCAGGACTTGGGTTTAGATCCTGCAGGTCAACGAGAAGATGCGGGATCTCGGGGGGCCTGGAAAAGGGGCCGACGCTCCGTGGCAGATTGCGGATGGTTCTTGCGAAGTTGCAGGCGCGGCAGCAGTTCGTCGAGAAGCCGAGGGGAATGACGCCCGCGCCCAAGTGCGACGCGTCGTTTGCGGCTGGCAAGGATGCCAGTCAGGAACAACGAGCTCGGGCCGAGAAAGAACAGGGCGAAGCAGCGGCGGATTTCGGCGAGGCAAACCCGGCCGAGGAGCGGAGGTCGAGGGCGTCGGCGAGCGCGAGGGCCGGCCGAGGGAACATGTCCGAACGACAACAGGCGCAACCCGCACGACAAGAAGGATTGCGCACGTCGTGGCGGCGGCGGCCGCGATTAGTGCCGCGGGAGAGAAGATCGAGAAGGTCGAGCTGGAGTTTCCGCGGGTGTTGGTTTCGTTGCTTGTTTTGATGGTGGCGATTGTGTTGGGCTGTGGATGTGCATTGGCAGCTACGCGCTTGCTCAAGGACGCGACGGAGCACAAGCTGATTGGCGAGGTTCGCGTGCACCGAGATGCGGGCGCGATGGCAAAACAGCTGAGGCCGCGACGGCGGAGCCGAGAGCGAACGATGATAGAGCGACGGGTGCCTGGGGGGTGAAGCGGACGGCCAGCGCCCAGAGCCAGAGCACGTACATACGGGATCTGACCACGCCGAGGTTTCAGTTCTTGAGGGAATTTGAACAAACGGCATGATTGAGTGCCGAGTTTGAGGCTTGAGCATGGATTGTAATTCAGGATGGAACATTACGCCGGGTGGCAGATGACAACATGGATGCGGTCGCATGTCGTATTCTTTTGGGAGCAGGGCCAGAAGGCTTCCCTTTCCCTCCCCTTATGTCAATCGCACAAGATCCGTGCCAATGCAGATTCACCAATTATGATCTGTGTTGCAGTAGCGCAATGCAGTGTATGAGTTGTGTTGATATGATGCTCGCGTGCTGTCGCGCACGCGAATTCGCACCGACGCTTTTATTGATCAAATACCGAGGGGGCCCTGGGTCAATCAAAACTACGACCGGATCCCTTTTGATTCCCTTCTATGCCATGTTTCGTGTGTGTGTGTGTGTTTGGTTTCCTACTTGGTGTGGGAGAACCTCGGTGGTTCCAGAGGAGTGCTACCGACACGACGGACGGGTACGCGTGACACTGCGGCACCTCGGCACATCGCCTTCATCAGGATCATTGTAACCATGTTTTTTTTTTTAATGCTAGTTTCGCATTCGCCATCATTGCTGGCATCACCATCATAAGTACCATCGTCGCCATCATCCCCGTTCTGTTCATGAGGAAACCCACTTCGATCAATTCGCTCGTCATTGGTGCCATTGTCATAGTATGCTCGTCGTTGGTGCCATTGCCAGTAAACCGTTACGGAGTATCGCCATCGTCGTAAATCACACTGGTATTTTGACACCCGCCTTGATCAATATCTTTGTGGTTTTCTTTGCCATCGACAGGTCGTGATCACCGTAGCCATCATTTAATAGTTGGCGCCCGCGACTCTATCGTCGTCACTCCGATCCCACTGGCCACGAACCGACAGGGACGTTTGGGGCGGGGTGGGGTGGCCGTGGATTTTGAAATTGTGCCGCCTTCCACTGCCTCCTTTTTTCCCCAGCCTTTTCCTAAAACCGTGCTTGCAGTGAGGGGTTCTTACTCGCTCTGCCCAGTCTCTTCGCCGACGGGATCCCAGCCGGGCCCCCGCCCCAAGACGATACTGTCAACCGCCGGGCTGCGTGCACAGTGTGAGAGCTGCCCCATTGTTCAAGTCACAGGTCTCACCGAGGACACCACCAGGGAAGGTCCCACCTGACAAGGGACACGCCCGTAGTCCCATCGAGAGGGTCCGCATTAGCGGTGTCAAGCCCCATCGAGAGCCATTAAGAGGGCCGCCCCGCAAGGGTTTTACCATCAGGAGGCGGAGCAGGAGGAGGAGGTCTAGGAGGACGAGGAGCAGGAGGACGGGGAGGGAGAGGAGCGGTGTCAGATGTGTAGCAGGAGATGAGCCCATGGGGTCCCACCGGGAAGGGCGATAGGGTCGCAGTAAATTGCACGGTCTAGATTACACAGCGTAGATATCACACGCACATTTCGCACACCATGTTTGATCCTTCCACGTGGATCACCCCATGTACACCCCCCCCAGCGATTACACAAACTGTTGTTCCGTAGGCTGCACCCCGCAGATTGCACCCCGTACATTACACCCCCTATGTGTACTATACACATCTATTGGTTTGCAGCTCGCATAGTGCGGCCCGTACATTGCGCCCCATGTATTGCCTTGCGTAGACTGCACGGGGTGGCCGTTCAGTGTCCGCGCGCCAGCATCTATTATGCTTATAAGTTCTCTCTTGTCCGCCACGTCTGCTCTGCAGCGCTCTCCGCATCACCGCGTAGTTTCATAGGATCTGTCTTCCATTCTTCTATGACGAGCTTCTTCCATGCTACATCATTTTCTGGGTCAGTATCAGTATCTCGTTGTGTCGTGCAGGCTGCTATGTAAGTGTCTTCTTTCCTGAGTATCTACGCCCCGTCTTTTTTGATAACGTATTTTTGTTCGTCTCGTCCCCGTCCTCTTCTATGCGCCGCCTTGTACAATCTTGTTGTCGAGTCACCGTGCAGCCGATCCTTACTAATGTCGTGGTTTTGTTTCGCGAAGTCGTCTCTCCTTATTCTATGTTGTGTATATGTGTGTTACACGAACATTGTTGTTTCAACCCTATTCTAACTCATTCGTTCCTTTAACCTGTTCCGTTGTTGGTCGCGCCACCTTCCGAGATCTTGGTTGTCTGCTGCTTATAATTGCTTCGCTCATGCCGCCGTCCCTAGAGCCCTCTTTAGGGCCTCTTGGGGACCTCTTGGGAGTCTCTTGGGGCTCCTTGGCGGCGTCTTGGGGGCCCCCAGGGCCTCTCGGGGGGCTTTTGGGGGCCTCTTGGGGCGGGAGGGGGGGTAGTCGATTGCGGCTCCCCCCTCGGCGGCCACGATCCTCGTGAGGGGTGTCGAAAAATGGCTCTCCCCTGGAGTGCTCTGGTGGCTTCTCCCGGGACCATGCCGGGGTACTTTTCGTCCGGGGGCCCCCAGGGGCCCCTCCGCGCGCGCGAACTAGAAATATTATTAACCAATTACTGAAGATCTTAGCACGCCTCTGGCCCGTTGGGCCGGCGAATTTCCGGTGCCCCTTCCCCGTCTCAATGCTATGTCCTTTCAGGCTCCGCTGGGTCCTCGAGGGTACATACGCTAGATACGACAAGGAGCTGGACAGGGAGGGGCAGCATGGGCATGAACATGATGAACTCCGCGTCGAGCATGGTGCAGGCGTCGTTGAACGACAAGGCGCGTCGGGGAGGGCCGCCGTAGGCTCCGCATTGGAGCACTGGCGGGGGTGGGATGGAGAAGAGGGGAGGAGCCGTAGCACCAGCAGCAGGTTCAGGGTAGGACGACAGGGACGAGGGGGAGTGGAGCAGGAGGAGAGATTGGTGAGGATGAGCGGGACGAGGGGGAGTGGGATGAGAGGGATGGGAGGATGGGAGGGATGAGGAGGAGAGGGATGGGAGGGAGTGGGGCAAGTGCAAGGCTGAGTGGAGGGAAGAAAGGAGGGGAAAGTGGAAGGAGGAGTGGCAGGGCGATGGTCAAGAGGAGGAGGAGGAGCAGGCGGAGGAGGGGGAGAAGGAGGCGAAGGAGGAGGAGGAGGAGGAGGAGGAGGAGGAGGGGGAGGGGCAGGGGGAGGACCCAGGGGGGGGAAAGGAGAGGGGGAGGCGATGAAGCTGCTGCTGCTGCTGCTGCTGCTGATGATGATGATGATGATGATGATGATGATGATGATGGTGATGATGGTGATGCTGCTGATGATGACGACTACGGTGATGGTGACGATGATGAGAATGATGATGCTGGCGATGACGATAACGATGATGATGGCGATGCTGATGACGATGATGCTGATTATGCTGATGATTATGATGCTGATGATGATAAGGATGTTGATCATGCCATTGTTGACGATGCTGAGCATCAGGATGATGACGATACTGCTGCTGATAATGGTGATGGTGATGGTGATGATGATGATGCTGATGATGATGATGATGATGATGATGCTGATGCTGATTCTGATGCTGATGGCGATGATCATGCTGATGATGCTGATGCTGATGCTGATGCTGATGATTCTGATGATACTGATGATGATGCTGTTAGATCTTGACGATCTTGACTCGTGCCAGAACCCCGTTCCTGTGACTTCAACTCCGCGAATCAACGTAACTGTGGCGCTGGCACGTCAACCATGATAATCAGTGAAATTCCCGAAAATGCGTAGAATCAAGTTTGCGTGAAAACGGCCCGCCCTCAATCCGTGAAGCTCTTTCAAATTGCATTACGATTGTGCGCGGCGCCAAGGCGAGAACCACGTTTTGACAACGACCACCCTCAATCCGTGGAGCTCATGCAAAATGTTAAAGCGAATGTGCGCGGCGCTAACGCGAGAGCTACATTCAGAAAGCCACCGGCCCTCATTCGTGAAATTGTTGCCAATGTTTAGGCACCGGGGCCATACGTTGATAGGAATTCTCAGGCGAAGCGCCCGGCCCGCCCTTTCGACCAGTCTCGGGGTGCGACAGGGAGGAGTTCTGTCAGGACAAGGAATTAAGGAGGACGACGACGACGGGGACGAGGACGAAGGGGAGGACGCGGGCGCCGACGACGTTGACGACCTCGCGCTGGCGCGCGCGAGGCGCGGCTGCCAATCCCGGTGACGTCCACCGCCATGTCTGGACGCCTGGGCAAGCACGAGTTTACGGCGCCCCCTCTCGGGGGGAGGAGAAAGAAGACGAAGAAGGAGGAGGAGGAGGAGGATGAGGAAAAGGAGGATTGTCTCGGATGTAATTATCCTGAGTCAGCGGGTCGTGCACTCGCACCTCAGCCCCTAGGGGGGCGGGGTCTGGCCGATGCGGGTGTCCGCCGCGCAGGCTAAAGCTGGGGGATGACGGATAGCCACGATACTGAGGTGTTTAGTGAGGAACACCCGTCGATGTTCCACCTCTTTATCGATTTCGCTGGCCGCCACCCCCTCCTCACCCCATGCCAAAGTGATCCTGTCGAATCGGGGCTCCTACGGGGTGGCATCCCATATTGGGGGAGCGAACTTGCCGCAGCAGTGATCCGCAATTTGACTCCTGGCGTGCACTGCCCAGCGGTTCCCCTCCGGGGAGGAAGCGGATCCCAAGGTGGGCCCGATTGCTTCCCCGCCGCTGAATTCAGGGGCTCTTGCACTTAGTGCAGGGACCCTGGCAGGTCGGGCAGACGCTGGGAGCTTCAGCCCCAACGTAGGTGTGGCAAAGCGGCAGGGGCCCCAGCCCATGCAGGCAGCCTGCGACGCTTGCGTGCTGAGTGCCACTTCGGGGGGGGACAATCGGGGCGTCGCCCCATCGGGGTGACTTCCCCCTGCGAGGTTGGATGCCGTGAGCGTTCCAGTCGCATGTTGATGCCAGTGGCCCGCGTAACGGTCTGGACGGCCGTAGTTTTTAGCAAGACCGCGAAAGCGACATGAAACCGGCTTTCTGGGTTGCCATCCCCGCTTGGCGATGGCCCCAGGATGCCACAACAAAGTGTGGCTCTTTTTCTTCTGCTTGGTTAGGGCAGCAGGACGAGTGGCAGCAGAAGCATGGTAGAATTAGCGTCTTGCGAGCATTGTTCAGGAAATCCAAGGCAGAGGGCCTTCGACATAGAGGCTTCACTCACAGAGGGAACGAGCTGCGATGCGCGTGCGGGTCGGAAATTCGAGCGGTTATTCAGCGAAACGGAAACTCCAACGTCGAGGGACCGAGCCGAGGCTTACTGACCGCACCAAGTGCCCACCCCAGAAAATGCCACATTTTGTTGTGTCATGCTGGGGTGCTCACCTCACTGGGGTGGTCGTGGAGCGCGCCAAGAGATGATTAATACATCCTCTGGTCTGCTAGCCCAGGGCCCTACAATTGCACATCGCAATCCCACTAGTTTGGTTACTACGTGTATGGCTTGCTTGCTGATCCGGTCGAATCAGCGGGCCAGGGGCTACCGCGAACTTGCCATGCAGTGGTCCGTAGCCCCTGGCCCTAACAGCCTTGCTGCGCGGGTAACGCATGTGGGGCCGAAGTCCCAGGCCGGAGAAGTTTCCGACACCGTCGGAAACCTACCCCCGAGGAGGTTTCCGACACCGTCGGAAACCTACTTCCATAGCGGCCCGGAGGGGAGAAATGTAACATACGCTTCATGCACATCTCACCCCGAGAGGGGCGAACGATTACTTTGACACTATGGGGCTGTACCACCCCAGAAAAGGCGCGTTGTTGATGCTGGGGTGCTCACCTCACAGGGGTGGCCGTGGAACGCGCCAAGACTTGATTGATAATCCTCTGGCCTGCGAGCCAGGGCCCTACAGTTGTATATCGTAATCCCACTAGCTTGGTTTCTACCTGTATGGCTGGCTTGCTGATCCGGTCGAATCAGCGTGCCAGGGGCTACCGCGAACTTGCCACGCAGTGGTCCGTAGTCCCTGGCCCTAACAGCCTTGCTGCGCGGGTAACTCTTGTGGGGCCGAAGCCCCAGCTCTAGGAGACGTCATGTCTCTGCACGTACAACAAACATCATGGATACATCCCGTACGAATCGATCGTACCACTCTCATGCAGCAATATCTGGCTCACGAGGGCCCTGGATTTTGGCTCAAATCGGGCACCCGGGATTTAGGCTCCAATCGGGCACCCGGGATTTTGGCTCGAATCGGGCACCTGGGAGCGCTCAAAACATCGTAATCCCATTAGTTTGGTTTCTACCTGTATGCTCGTAATCTGCTCTGGGGGCAAATCACCGTGCAGTGGCGTGGGATTCGCTCCCGTACCCTGGTCTCGCTGACAATTACTACTGCAACATCTGCAGACCCGCCCGGCCGACGGGCCGGAAAGCTCGAATTTGGGCGCGGCGGCCCGGCCGACCGGCCGCAGAATTCGGCGTTTGTTTCCCCGGCGGCCCGGTCGACCGGCCGGAGAATTCGGCTTTTCTCTCCCCGGCGGCCCGGCCGACCGGCTGGAGAATTCGGCTTTTGTCTCCCCAGCGGCCCGGATTCGGGGTACACAATTACGGGTACATCGCACGTGCACGCATCATTACACTCGCTTGGAATCTCTCGAAACTCACCCCGTCTACAGTCACACAGTATGGCTGGCTTGCTGATCCGGTCGAATCAGCGGGCCAGGGGCTACCGCGAACTTGCTATGCAGTGGTCCGTAGTCCCTGGCCCTAACAGCCTTGCTGCGCGGGTAACTCTTGTGGGGCCGAAGCCCCAGCTCTAAGAGACGTCATGTCTCTGCACGTACAACAAACATCATGGATACATCCCGTGCGAATCGATCGTACCACTCTCATGCAGCAATATCTGGCTCACGAGGGCCTTGGATTTTGGCTCAAATCGGGCACCCGGGATGTAGGCTCCAATCGGGCACCCGGGATTTTGGCTCGAATCGGGCACCTGGGAGCGCTCAAAATAAAACCCCGCCCTAAGCCTCCTGAGGGCGGGGTTTCGGAGGATGGAGTTAGAGGCCAAGGCCCCGCGGGTGGAGGGCCACCCTGTTCTGTATGGCTGGCTTGCTGATCCAGTCGAATCAGCGGGTCAGGGGCTACCGCGAACTTGCTATGCAGTGGTCCGTAGTCCGTGGCCCTGACAGCCCTGCTTCTGGCAAACTGACTTGCCTAGGGTCTTGGGGACACGGTACACAGTGACCCCACTGCGTGCGTGATGACGCGTTTCGTGCAAAAGCAAGCCGAATTAAGCCTTTGTCGCCCCAACCCCCACTCCCTGGTCCTCGTGGTCGGGGTGCGTATCGGAACCCAGCGGGGATCCTTAAAGGCTGCCCCGTGCGTCCCCGACCACACCGAGAACCAAGGAGGCTGGGGGGTCATCGGCACGGGGATGAGGAGGAGGATGAGGATGAGGAGGAGGAGGAGGAGGAGGAGGAGGAGGAGGAGGAGGAGGAGGAGGAGGAGGAGGAGGAGGAGGAGGAGGAGGAAGGGGAGTAGGAGGGTGAGGGTGAGGGGGAAGAAGACGGGGAGGAGGGGGTGGATGAGGATGAGGAGGCGGAGGAAGACGAGGCGGATGGGCATCAGCAGGATCAGGAGGATGCGTAGCATCTGGAGGAGGAAGGATTGCATCAGGAGGAGCAGGAGGATGATGAGTAGAAGGGGGAGGCAGGGGCAGAGGAGGAGGATGAACACTAGCAGGAGGAGGTGGAGGAGAAGGAAGGGGAGGAGGAGGAGGAGAATGAGTCAGACGTGTTCACGCCGCCCCTTGGAGGCGGACGAACACAAGGGAAGGGTCGTGTGTTGGGAATCCAGATTTCTCCCAACCATCTTGTGGTGTTGGGTCTTGGTTTTGAAGAGACAGCGCCCCGCGTTCCTCTTCCCAGCCCCTCCTCCACACCGCAATCCATTTCGGAACACCCATCACACCTTTCGTAGCCCCATCGGGAGCTCCCTCGAAGGCCCCATTGGCATCGACCACATGCGTCCGCGCCATCCATTACAGCTTTTCGTGGCCCCGTAGGGAGCTTCACGGCAGGCCCCAGCGGCAATGACCACATGCGTCCGCGCCACCCAGTACAGCGTTTCGCGGCCCCATCGGGAGCTCCACCGAATCCCCGTTGCTGTGACAACATGCGGCCGTGCCACCCAGTACAGCGCTCCGTGGCTCCAAGGGAGCTCCACCGCAGGCCCCAGTGGCTGGGACCACATGCGCCCGCGCCACCCAGTACAGCGCTTCGTGGCCCAATGATCATAATTGTTGACGCTTCGCGAATCCCCACCAGCCCATCCAGAACCGATGCCCCGAGGAATTGCCTCGATCAGGGAAGGGGGCAGCACACAGAGGAAGCCAGTATGAGACATCGTGGGATATCGTGAGCCATCTTGGAGGTCATCTTGGGCTCTCCCAGGCGCTCTTGGAGTCATCTTAATCAGTGCCCCCCCCAAGAGGCCGACATGTGGCTAAAACCTTCGTAACATCAATGCTATGGCATTCTCGCCGAGGCCTCTTGGAGCATCTTGGGTGCCTCTGGGGGGTCTGTTGGGGCCTCTTGGGGGTCTCTTGGAAGCCTCTTGGGGGCATCCTGGGGGCCCCTTGGGGCTTCCTGGCCACCTCTTGGGGCCCTCTTGGGGCACCCTTGGGAGCCTTGGGGGCCATCTTTGGGCCATCTTGGGTGAGATCCATCACAGGAGTGGGGGTTACTAATACAGTCCCCCCCCCAGGAGGCCAAACTGGGACCAACACAATAGTAAACCAATGATTTTGGCTTCCTCGCCGAGGCCGTTTTGGACGCTCCGACGACTCGCGGAACCCCCTGTCCAGGTCCAGGGGAGGGGGTAGGTGGAGGGGTAAACCCTTCCCCGAAGGGGAAGAAGGAGGGGTGGAAGAGGAAACTCCCTAAACCACCTACGCCCAGAGGGCTGGTGGGATTTGTGAGGAGGTCTCGGGCGAAACGCCTGGCCCGTCCTACACGTCTGGGGGTGCGACAGGGAGGAGCCTTTTACAAGCAAAGGGGATTCATGATGATGAGGAGGATGAGGATAATGACGACAACGTTTCTGTTGCTGATGCTGGCGGAGATGATGGGTGATTGCAGTGATGATGACTGTGATGATGATGAGGATGCTGGTGACGGTGATGATCATAATGATGCTTGAGGAGGAGGAGGAGGAGGAGGAGGAGGTGGAGGAGGAGGAGGAGGAGGCCCCTTTTCTCCATCCCCCTCGTTCCCCATCCAAGCGCACACTCCTGCGTCCTTCCCCCCTCGTGAGGTCCTGCGGGAGCCACTTCCGTCGCCCTTCGACGGCCTCTGCGCGCCCACGACCTGCTTCCGGCTGATCCCTCAGCTGATGGTGACGAACGACACGAGGTACCGCCTGCATGTGCGCCGGTCAGGCGGGCCGCACCACGGCGGCGGCGGCGACGATACGTCGGAGTGACCCTTCGCCGGAGTGACCCTTGGTGCGGGCGCGTTGGGGCCCCCCGAGCGCGGAACGCGATGTGGGAGCAGCGCCTTGCGCGCTTGTGCTTGCTGCTTGGCCCCTCTGCCGCCCCCCAGGAGTCGCGCACCACAGGTCCCTCTTACCCAGGGCCCCTCTTGCGTGTAATCGATGCGGCGGCGACAACGACGAAGCCGACGAAGGCGTTTCTTTTCCCATCTCGTCGCCGTCGTGGTCGTTGTTCCGGTCCCTGTCTCTCTCGCGGAGACGTCGAGCACGGGTGGATTCCATCAAGTGCGTCTTGTCGGGAGCCGTCTGGGGGTCCAGTCCAGAATCTTCCCAATCGGTCGCTAGAGCCCCATGTCTGGCTGTGCCCCCCACGGATAGTACAGGACGGGGGAGTCGGGAAAAGGAGAAGGAGGAGAAGGAGCAGGATCAATATCTCAGCAGTAAGATGAACAGGAGAGAGAGCATGGGCGGAGGAGGAGGATGAGAGGGAAGGAGGGTGGAGGATGATGCGGAGGATGGAGATGAGGAGGATGAGGAGGATGAGGAAGAGGGAGGAGGGAGGAGGGGGATGATGATGATGATGCGGACGAGTGTCATTTGAGCATCTGCGCAGCACAGCGTGTGGGGAAGGAGGAATGCAGGGAGGAGGATGGGGCGCTAGCCAGCCTCAAGGCTGGCCGACGCCTGGGCTGTAGCCACCGCGACCTCTCTCTCAACCCCAGAGCGCCTGCATAGCTGGGACATGTACCTTGCGCGATGCGGGCGAGGTTCCCACGACCCTTCTTAGAAGCGTCAGAACACTCAGCAGCAAGCTGACGCCCCTCTACAGTGGCTGTACGACCGCAATGGTGGCAACATTTCATGCCGAAACGATCCCAGAATCCGAGGCGGTGAGACTCTGAGGGTCACTCCGCAGACAACCACGGGCCCAGGGACAGAACGACGACACCTTGAGGCCACTTCTGGTCCCATCATGAACGCAGTCCAAGGCACCGAACTCCAGAAGACCACCAAGTGTAGAACAACTCCCGCACCTGGAACACCTGAAACGCTTGCCACCCTTTGTGACATGGTGAGCGCTGGCGTGGGCGGCACGGTCCCTCATGGCCCCCCTTCGAGTTCTCTCGGGGGCGTCCAGGGAGTCCTTGGGCTTGTTCGGATCGGCCACCGCTCAATCCGCCAACGCTCTGCGGGCCCTCCTGACCAGGTCGGCGGTTATATTGCAATGCTCGGTCGAGGGCGCAACTGAGGCGAGGCCAAGCTCTCAGATGCGTTCGGCTGCTTTCCCCGCGGCCAAGTCGGCCGCCGAATTCCCAGCAGCCAGGGAAGGTTCCTGGGGTGGGAGATTGGGATCGTCGGGATCCAAGTGGGAATGGGGGTCCATCCAATTGTGACCTCGCCTCCGCCACGGCTCTCGAGAGCCCTTCTGATACGCAACCAGAGGTTCCTGTTCCGCACAGTACAGGCACGACACCTACCCCCAAACCCAACCGACAGAGGCTTGTGTTCCATCACGAAAGGGATAGGGGCCCTCAGAACCCTCAAGGGCCATGGCGAAAGCGGTAAGTTCGGCCTTGGGTATTTTTTGGTTGCTGGTTGCGGCCGACAAGGCCAGCGGAAACTCCGACAGCTTCAAAAACATCACCCTGTTGACGGATGACGACAGCTCCTGCACCACAGCGACGGCGACGAGGGTCAGAGGAAAGACGCCCCCCCTACCCGAGCCGTCTCCGAACACAAGTGTGATTGCACCAGAGACGCAGCAATCCATGAGCGAACGTTCCTGGATGGCAACAGGCAAAGTGTCTTGATCCGAAGAAGGCGGCTGGGTCAGCTCGGCGTGGGCCACGCCCCTAAACCAAAGAACCGGCGAGGCCTGAGTACCCGCCAACGCCTGATGGACAAGACAGTCGCCCTCGACGTAATATTCATGGTCGCAGTTGGCCTCGCAAAGTCAGACCCGATGCAAGAGGGTCTCGGGGCACTTCTTGCACCACTGGCACACCTGGTGCTCTGGGGAGCCCAAACGAAGCCTCACTGAGCCGCGCCCACGACTGCCATCTTGAAGCCATGCTCACTCGCGGCGAACTAAAAAGAGGTCACCACCTCCTTTTAATCAGAGACCGCTTCGAGATGAGCAGCAGGCTCCCACAATTGCGCCCTGAGGTCACAGCACAAATCATCGAGGCGCTCAGACACCTCGAATTCGCTAGGATCATAGCCTGGCTTGGTAGAGACAGGAAGGGACCAGTTCTCCAGCGAACCGCTAAGGGTGCGACGTTGCCAAACCGAGGCATCCTTGGGATCCCACCCTAGGTCGAGCAGAGTGGCCTGTACAGCCGAGACAGGTCCTTCTTAAGAGCAGCGTTCCTCCTTTAACAAACAAGCAGTTTTCTGGTTCTCTGCGACTGGCTCCTTGAATGCTAGAACTAGACTTGGCCAAGAACGAAACCTGCCAGAACTGGCATCCGCATCCAGATCAACACCTTCTGGTAAAGTTGACGAGGAACCCACACTCCTGCAGTCTAGCACAAACGCGCTTAGGAAGAGGACGCGGTTTTGCCAGAGACATCCAAACGCCCCCCTTACGATTCTCTCGCCAAGGGCAACCGAGGAACGCAAACTACCTTCCTCCGTTGCCGCCTCGGGGCCTTCAACACGAAGCACTGTGTCATCTTTAAAGGTCCACAGACGCCGTGGGATCTTTGTTTTGCGCGGCTTACAAACGCGGGTGCAGAAACAGTTTGGCAGCCTTGACCCCGTGGGGGGAATCAGCAACCAGAGACCGGATGGGCCAAGTAGTTTCCGAGATCTTTTGCTGTCCACACAGCCTAATATGGGAAGCACGCTGCTGAATCTTCAAATGCATGACAATGACCCGAATTTGTAACTGCAATGCCGTTCGACCTAACAGGACCCACGATACGCTGTCGTAAAGCTTGTCCAAGTCTAGACTTCTAGTGCCGACCGTGAAGCCTAGATTTACAGCCGTCTCATCGAGCAACGATCGCATCAAAGACGCCTGCAGAGCGGAGCTGCCCGCGATCGCGGTGTCCCAGAAATCCCTCGAGCCTTGTGACTACTGGGAAGTGAGGCCATATCTCATTCTCGGCCAAAGCTTGGCGGTTCTGGGCGACCTTTTCACCCCTTCGAGGCTTGGGTGAAAGGGCGCCAACCGAATAAACAGCTCGACAGGCCAAACATTTCGGTCCTCGACCGCCCTGAGAAGCTCCAAACACTCCGGAAGGCTTCTGAAGGGATCCGCTGAAGGTCCATAGAAGTGATGCCGTCCACACCTCTGGTCTTGACAGGCAGGGACTTTATGACAGCGCCGAGCTGTTCCGAAGTTAGTTCCGGTGTGTCCTTACAATTGGCCGCTCTACCTTACCCGGCGATGATACAGGCAACGTCCTGATGCGAGTCAACACGGTCAGTTCAGAGAATGTAGTGGCCTTCGGCCTGTGCCGCCGATCCGGGACGCTTCTAGCGGACTGACAGACGTGGTAAACGGACCCTGGCGGCCATATGGGCTATGTTGAGTTGTCATCGGGTTCTTTTGGCGCGTATAGTTTTTCTTTTGGCGGAGGGGCTGAGCTGGGGCTCTGTGGGCATTTTCTAATGGCGTTCGGCCCATTCCGCCACTGTGCCTGGGTTATGGGTGAAAAGCCTTTTTGGATGTTCGTTTGGATTTCATTGGAGGCCTCTCGGGGTCCTCTTGGAGGCAATTTTGAAGGCTATCCGGGGGCGTTTTGTGACCTCGTGGGGCGTTTTGTGACCTCGTGGGGCGTTTTCGGCCACCCCGGCACCCACCCCCCGAGTGAAGCAAGAGTTTCTATTCGAATCGCTAAGGTTCCTCAAATTCGCTGGGACTAGGAGACCTCGCACGCCTGATCGGCGGATTGGCCCAGACTTTCCCTTTCTCTTCTGCTACAAACAAGGGCCATTTACTGTTAGACCCCCCGCGCAAACTTCATTAGAAATCGCAGCGGGATCACGGACAAGCCCGAGCAACAGATCAGTTTTTTCTTTTACTGCTCAAGGGCCCATTTACCGAATGCCTGCAGCAAGCCTCCAGGTCGGGAAGAGGAAATCCCCTGCTTCGTCATCTGAAGCGGCCAGAAGACCTCGCCCCCACTCAAGCCAACGAAGCCTGAGCTCGCCGTCGTCTTTCCCGAAATATTCACCGGCTGCAAAAACCGCCGCCTCCTGGCGGCATGCAGCTTCTTGCTGTGGGTCCTTGCCGTAAGACCTGAGGCGATGCCATCCCTACCGCAGCGTCTGGAAAATGCCCCGCCACTTCGCCGACGCATCAGTCATGTTGGTTCTGCCAGGCGTGGACTTGGACTTCTGTCACGAGACGGTGTAGCCAGCCCATCGCCCAGGCAACTGACTAGGAAGAACCTCGGGGTCTTGCTGTCTATAGGTCGCAAGCTCAAGCTTGGAGACTCACTTAGCATAAAGGCTGGACACGGCCTCGCACCCGGTGGTGTTAGAGGTCAGTCGGAGATGTTTGCCATTGACCTCCAGATAGGCCTGATGGAGCGCAAGAACCACGACGCTACAGCTGCAGTCCTCCCCAAACTCGCTGGACAAAGCAAAGTCGATCGTAGGAGTGCCAGAGGAAACCTCGGTCTCTCCAGCATGTGCTAGATCGAACTCCTCCCGAAGATCCTCCGAAAGCTTCTCCTTGCGTCTGGCTAACGCCGCAGCTCCCTGCTAGGATCGCCTGCGGTCGGGATCGGCTTGCTTCTTGGGTCTACCTGGAGTAGGGAGAGGGTCGAAGGCGACGAGCTTTTAGTGCCAGCCCATTTCCGCCGCCCCTTTCAGAGTGACCAATAGACCAATAGACCAATATGCGTCCTCCACCCTCCAGAGAACAAACCTGAAACACTGATGCAACCATACTGCCCATACTTGGCCACGACATAATCTACGAACCTGCCAGGG